TGCCTGCAGTGAAATCGATATTTTTTAATGTCTGGGATCGGTTTGTCGATCATGCGTTTGGCCCAGCACAAAACGCCTTGTTGGTAATGTTGTAAAAATAATAATGTTGGACGGTGTAATAACGTCTCACTAATATCATGGGTCTTCTGCCGACGTGGTCCTTAAACGGTTGATGTGACCGCGAGGGACACTTATACGGCCGTATTCAGTGATATGGCGTCCTACACGTGATCTACGATGGGTCTTTCACCCTTCGCGGTGTTAATTATGTAAAGTTCGCTCGCGAGAAGTATTTCTAAGAACCCAACGTTGTTTTTGTCATGTCGGAGACTTCTTGCTGCACCTCGAGAATTTTTCCCCCATTCAATTTTTACCTCCCACTTCATCTTTCACGTTTGCGTGGGTCCGTTTTGTTCTGAAATTGTTTTAAAAGCTCGCCGGCAATGCAGGTCTCTCGGCGGTGAAAATTTTCGCCTCTGAAGGCGGATGGTTCTTTTATGTTTCCGCCCTGGAGCAGCAAGTTACGCGTGAGAACACTGACCCCTCCTGGCTCACTCTCGAGGATATGCATAGCTCTTCAGGATGGATGGACAAGTGCATTTTCCTTTGTCCCGCGAGATTCCCAAAAAAGTACAGCGGCATCCTCGAGCAGGAATGATCCGGAAAGAAGTAATCCCTTACAGATTGTGCAGCCTTGGTGAATGTAATTCTCAAGTTTCTTTGCTGACGCTTCGGCGTCAGGGGAGTGAAGCGCGTGGACGCGACCACGCAACTTTGACACAGAATTTTATCGCCGGATTTTCGCTTTTCAAATGAAGAAGGTGTTGTTGGAAAAAGTGCAAAACTTTTAAGATCAAACCTTATACACGTGTAGCGAAACAGTGAAACTCTCCGCGATTGTAAATCGTGGGCAGGTTGTATTCGTTTCCCGATAGTTTCCAGATTCAAAGAATGGTGTAGTTCAGGTCATTCAGTGACCCAGGCACTTGGAGTGAGTCCTTATTATAACAGCTCTTGACACCATCTTTAAGCATCGTGATGTCTAGACTGGCCTTCACGTTGGAGTCGAGACTATACCCACAACTGGTGACAGTTCTCGGCCCACCTCGTTTACACATTCTGTCGCGTCCTTTGAGACACTTTGAGGGAAAAACAACAGAGAAAAAAACGAGACGTGCGCGTCCAATTAAGGCGCAATTTGTATGCTAAGAGTGGGGGACCCACGACCGCACCCTTGGGGCCAATTCCTCGTGCTTGCTATCCCTGCGTCGGGAACTGAGTGCCTCACTTCGGCTCGGCACGCGTGTCCAACCTTAACTCCCCCCCCCCGAGCGTCTCCCCTTCACTGTTTTCTCACAGATTGAACGAGGAAGCATGTGGTGGGCCAGCGATGCCTTAATTGGAGCGGGGGCCCGGGGGCCCGGGGGCTGTTAGATTTTTCTATTTGGCGCAGGGGATCTGCAATATCACGACTCACTGACGACGTGACGCCCCAACCACGCATGGGCGTGTGAATGCCTCACAGTTGCCGATCAGACTATCATGAAAAGAAAACGTAAATTGCCATTCACACCGTGCTGCCTCTGATCAGACGCAAATCTGCGAACCTGATTTTGTTTTTGTTTCTCTTTTAATTGCAGGAAATCCCCGTTCCTGTTGGTCAATAATCCTTCATTTATGAATGTTTGTGTAAGTGCATTAAGGCAGAAGACGAGGTTGGAACCGATTTCGCATGGGCAGTCGCACGAGGGATCCATTGATGATCTTGTCCCCTCCGGTTCCATGTCCAATATTTTGGTTGCTGGTGTAGTAGAAAGTAATGGTCTGGCATAAACCCAGCAGCCTGCTGTCCCTAATCCACCGATCGAGAGGGCGCGGAAGTACGGCAGCGCAACGGGATCCACCGACCGTGGGCTCGCACTCATTGCCGGGTGAAACACGAACCCCCGGCCCGTCTACCGCTTTTTTTTTGGGGGGGGGCAATGTGATGTTTCTTGTTTCACGGAGCAGCATGGAGCGATTGATGAGGGTCGGTGGGCGAAGCTCGCCTCAATGTCGTCACCGCCCCTCTTTCTTTCTGCCGCTCTAAACGGACACCGTCGGGCTGCTGTGGACGGGATCTCCCTGGGGGGCTCCAACATCGATTTGCTGTCTTGACCCCCCTGGGCGAATGTACGCCACGTCCGGCCGCACACGGCTTGATAGACAAGAGTTTCACACCACGTCAACTCGTGTTGAGAGCGACGCAACCCCGTGCCGTCAGATCTCATAGCATGGAATTCAATGACTCACTCTTAACTCGATTAATGCCAACTACACACGACGGCCACAATCTCGATGAGTTTCTTATAAAATCGTAATGACAGCCACCTTGATATTTCCATCATCAAAGCACATGATGCTGTCAACCAATATTGTGCGTAAATTTCAAAGCGATGATTGAAAACAAGAACGCGGTTCCATCCACCATGAATTGTATTCCCTTTAAGGAAAACAAACATCCAAACAGACGAGTTTCCACTGACACTATTACAGATATTGATCCTTTTATCACATTTCATCTTAATGTATCAGGCCTCATCTCCCTCATTCGAATTTCGCCGTGCTTTCGTCATAAATATTTTAGTTACACCCACAACCTGTCGGAGCTGTTTTTATGTATGTTTTAATTTTATGGATTTCTTTTTAAACGAAGAGAAAGTATGAAAGTATTGAACATTCTTTACAGATTGCTCGAACTCTTCTTGCAACATCTAAGTGAGAAACACTCTGTTTTACGTCTTTTAGGATTCAAACCCTTATCTTTCAGGTTGACCACATTGTGAAACAAAATGACCATTAGCTGTGGCCATTACTAGTTGTAAAGACAGAAAATGTGTCCTTTACCGTAGAACAAGAATCCTGGTAACAAACAGTAAACAAGAGCTTTCTGTGTTACTTTAGCGCCTTTCATTTTCCGACCAGGAACCAATGCCATAGACCTGATCAGAGGTAGGGCCTAACGCAGAAACATCCGGAGCTTCAAACTGTTTTTTCTTAGCAAATGTGGGTTACCAGCCAACATGTTATGCGTTGTACATAACTTGCGACTGGTTGCCCTACCGTGTTTGCGTAGCACGTGGCGTTGCTGAGCATTGTTTAATGCAATGTAGCGCTTTTTAGAAGATTGTATATGGGCTTTACAGTATTACCGTACTTGCCTCTTTGACCAGTGGAGGTTTTTCCTTCGCCCACATCAGGTTTAAGCAAAGGTAAGTGAGTGGAATGACACCACGGTAACGACGTTTCTTGGATATTATAGTATTTATAGTTGCAAATAGGTTATTTGGGAGAAATGTTGTGGTAAATTTTTCAGCATTAGGGAGACATTGGCTTTTAGGGAGACATTTCAGTGTCTCCCTATTTTCAAACTACCAGAAGGAGGCCGAATTTTACGGTCCATATTTTGAGAGATGATAGTTTAAGGCCTACAATGAAAACATACAAAGTTTGGTTCAGATCAGATTAGGGAATATTAAATTATGGGACAGTAAAGTTGGAAAAATTTTGTGCACGTTCTTATGGGAATGTCTCCCTAATGACCCATTAGCGGTAATGATTATTTTTAAAATATGATTGCAACGAACTGGGAAATTTAAGATAAAGTTTTCGACAGGTGAAATCTTCTGCTTCGTTTCATGACAATACTATGCAGCGTATCAAAGATTCACAGGACATCGTCTGCTCTCTCCCTCTCGTTCCTGGTAGTTGCACATTTTTATTCACCACCCTCCAAGGAACCGATATCAAATCTATTCTTGGCCGCGCGCGAAAGCCCACTTTTCGGCCATGACCGCTGTATATGACTGTGATTTATGTTCTAGGAAATCATGCCTGTGTAGGAGACTTTGCTCATCTTGTGTGTCGTATATCGCCATCTTTCGCAGTCCTGAAGTCATCTGCCAGCAAATCGTACACGATGGGTTGCGCTTGCCCGATAACTATATAAAGCGAGTGTAAGGCTTATCTGTCCATACCACTTCGTAATTTATGTCGAAGTAAGTGCCTTGTGTGCGTTCCTCGCAGCAACGCAAATAGACACCCACCAACATTTCAAATCCGGTGGAGAGGTCTGGCGCTAATGGCGTCCATTCTGAACAGGTTCTGATGTGTTGCGTGCAAGGCCACGTTAGAAATCCACGAGAGCCCCTGCTCCCAACAGAGTGTGGAAGTTGGCCTTCTGAATAACATCAGTAATTTTGCGAGAAATAAATTCTGGAGCCCGAGAGGTCACTGTCTGGCACCAAGAAGTGAAGTCGCTAGCACGCGTGCATGATGCAGGAATGCATGACGAGATAATGAGGCAGCTTTTGTGAAATCTGAGTGCACTATTGTTTGTCTTTTGTGTGTTACAAGAAAGTATACACGAAGCGTCACCTATAAGCTGTGCAGTTGCATAATTTTCTCTATGTAATCTCCGCAAGTGATTGTTCGTAGTGAAAATTTAGGATGTCAGAGGTGAAAACTACTAGCCGAATAAGCCATTTGCGAGTTAAATTGGGATAAAATCTGGTACACTGAGTTATCTGATTGCACATAAACATAACCATGTGAATTCCCAAGTCTAAAGATTCTGTTGCTATACCTCGTGATTCGGGGCAAGCTTTTGCTTATCGACCACCATCTCTTAAATGGACTGGTTCCTTCGTGCCCTTCTTTTCCATTGTGTGTTGTTGCAAGGCGTCTCTTATGTAACTAAGGAAAAGCTTGCTCCGAATCACGAGGTATAGCAACAGTGAAATAGTACGGAGAATTCCAATTGTTATGCTCACGTGAATTTAAAGAACTCAGTGTACCAGACTTTGTTCAAATTTAACTCGCAAAAAGCTTATTGGTTTTAGCGTTACCGGTATGGTAGTAAGTCACCAGAGGGGTTTTTTCATCCAACAGACGACATTATTCGGATTGTAAAAGAAAGACCAAGAACATGTCAAAGAACCAAAAGGAATTCAATCCTCACATTTGCTTCAGATTTTATGTGAACATATACAGTTTATTTCATATAAACGAATTCCTAATTTGTTATTAAATGTCGCTGTGATTTCTGCCATAACATAACGCATCAAATAGCATTTCTAGTCCATAATTATGTACAGGCATTAACGGTGATAAGATTGGGCATATTCTTCCAATGATTCCAAGCATTTAAGTGCAAACAAAACTCGACAACAGTGCTTCGAATCTAAGGTGTATAATAATGGCATTGAAAACGGAAAATGGGGCATTGCTACAAAATCTGACGCTCTAACGTTGAAGTTTATACGACATTATACTGATCGTAATGCGAGGGTTATCAAGTTCTTGTTTCGCTCACTTTTGTGAAAAGCATAAACTGGATCTCGTATAACGACAGAACGACCGTAAAGCAAGCAGACATATCAGTCAAAAACTTAGGTGTCGGGCTGGCAAACACGAAGCACAAAAACGTTGATGTTAAAATTTCGAAGCTCTCCCTTCAATGATTCGCGGAGAGCATCCAAGTCGACGGCTGTTTTCCAATATTTTCCCACTTTCACTTCATGACACAGATTATGAACCGAAAAAACGAATACACAGTGATTAATTAGTCACATCAACCAGTCGACAGTTGTGGGAAAAATCCTTTGGTGCGTACTTTAAAAAAAAACACGTCACACCTAGAATCCATAAGTAAAATAATTTGGTGTCAAACAAACCATGTGGGAACGTTTTAAAAAATATTCTGTCTCCTTCGATAATTTTGAGCCCATTAAAACTGCCAGTTGTCAGGAAGTACACGTCCAGTAGATGACAAGAAACAATGTGTTTTCTTGGGGTGAATATGAGATTTTCAAACTTGAGTTTGAAAAGTCAAACCCTCCTCTAGGATGGTAGTCTCTCGGCTCGTCCCCAGAACTGAGATATTATCTACCCAAGAGGAAGGATGTGACTTTGCAAAAGGCCACGTGCAGATTTCATGTTCATTATTCATCCCCGGCCTGGCCAAGCCAACCTGGTCCACCAGAGGGCACACAAATCCTCTTAACAGAAATTTGCCCGCATAAAAAACACGTTCAACCAACGAGCCATTTGACACAAATTTGGGTGGTTTTTTTTCCGGAACCGCAGATACTGAAGAAGAGAATTGCACGAAAATGCACGATTTGGGACTTAAAACGACACTAATTCCACATTGTCAACCATTCGGTAAACTTGAACTTTTCCCCCGTTTTGTTCGCACCTGTCTTGACATGCAAGCACAAGTTTAGAAATTCTGTCAGCACACTCTTCGATCGGAGAGCGACTAGGATAACTCTTTTCGGAGTTGACACGTTTCAGAGTTACGCACTGGAAATGTCATTGCAACTGTGCGACCTACTTTTCGAAGTTCCCTTCCAGACAATTCGAAATCCAGGCTAACTACGCTTAAAAAGGAAAGTTTGGAAAATATATTCAAGTCGTAAATCTTTGGTTGGGTGGTGGTGCTCTTTTGAATCTAAAAGGTAGTGAGGGGGGACTTTGGTTGAGCAAAGCAGGGGACCTAGGTGCTACGCGACTTCCGCGACCAGAAGTACTTGAGTAGTTGCTTGTCGAGGGGTAGGTGCCATTTGTTGCCGGCAGTCATGCCCGGCTCCAAGAGCTCGTCGGCGTCTGCGGGTACCGTGTTGAGGATCTCGTTCAGCTGTTTGTCGGGCTCCGCCTCGACCACGCCCTCTGGCGGCATGTTGAAATTCCGTCCGAAGCGGGGAAGATGCCGACGGAACTGTCCGGACTCGAAGGCTTGCATCGCTGCATTCACAAGAGGGGAGTGGGGTGGTGGGGGGAGAGAGAAAGGAGGCAGACTGTCATTTGTTTGAATAACACTGGACGATTTGAGCCCAAAGGATGGTAAAAACAACTTGCTCTTCAGTCTTTGAGAATGTTAACAAAAATGTCTTGCATCAAACCATTGGGTTATTGTAATGGAGGTAACCTGCCAATGCTGCGAAAAAAATTTCCATTTTCAGTATTTGTCAAAGTAAAAGAGGAAAGACAGATTTTATGTGGTGATATTCGTCATGCGTGAGTTGTCGACAGGATCATTCGATCTTTCGCTCACTAAGTACTTGCTCCCTTCGTCGTCCAGTTCAGTGTACGGTCCATTTTCTTGTCTCGATTTTTGTATGGCTATATGGGCTAAATATCGTGCAGATACTGGTCAATCTCTTGTTGCTGGGGTCAGTTAAATGGCACGTACGAAACCCCTTGTTCGTTCAAGGTCCCGCGGCACGCAAAGTACGAAAAGTCCCAACTCAGTGGAGATCGACGAGCCCGTTCCATATTATTGACTGTGCCATCTCTGGTTTGAAGAAATTCTCCTCATTACAAATTTAGGACGTTTGGCACAATTTACAGCACTGTCATGGAGGGACTCCGAACCCGAGACTTCTGCAACTCGCCCCTCCAGAAAGTCACGGAGAGATCCTGCCCGCACGGGATATAAATAAGTAATTACACGTACCCACGTTATGAGAAAAAAAATCGAGGTATCGGTTCAAGTGAAATCCCAAAACCTCTAATCGCATTCAGCAAGGAGATCGAAATCAGCATTGACTGAGGTTCTTAATATCCCTCGAGTAAAAAAAAAAAAGAACACTCACAGGGAATGTTGTATGTGTTTTGGCTGCAAACGCATGAACGTCATGTCTTATGATTTAGATGGTGACGCGACGTGAATGTCAATTTCGTCAGTTGTTATGTATTCCTTGATGCGGGTTTACTCTCAGAGGCGATAGTGTGAGTTTACAGGGCCATTGCAGTGTTGATAGCTGCCAACGAGGTTCGGTGATTTGCGGAAATTCGTGCCACTTCACTCGAAGAACCAAATTTATTTGAGTGTAGCGCGTGCATAGTTCAGAGTACGATAAAAACAAATAAATTATAAAGTATTTAAACTTGATAATAAGTCTACTTTAACGTTTATGTAAGACAGAATTGTCATCAGAACTGTTACTGTAGATGAACCACCCCAAAAAGATTTATCTCAACAAATTGTGAGTAGAGGGTTTGTATGGTTGTCATTTTGCAGGCTAGTGCCTTTGTTGCACGGGGTATGCACACGGGAGGGTTCCCCTATGGAACAAAATAACTGCCCTGCAACATGGCTACCGCGCAAAGCCTCTCTATAGACACTACGGAAAATAGCCTGAATTTAGGAGAAAATGACACATCTTACAGCTGAACCGTTTGCGCCCGCGTTTATCATTACAGACTCACTGAAAATTTCTGCTTCAACTTGCCTTACCTAAGCTACAATGTAAGAGTTATAGTAGAAAATTGACAATAGAAGAAAGTTGTGTGATTTTTTTTGGCAATAAGTCTCACAAGATACAAACGTAGTGTTTACATCGAGAAGCAATATTTCAGTTTTGAGGAAACAGATAGCTGTGTAATAATGCTTTAGCATTAAAATGTGTTGATCGATATGGTGCGTGTGGGTTGTGCGCAGGCGCTGAAGGCTGCACAGGCGAGGAAATCGCATAGAATTAGGTCGATCGGATTTACCCTAAATAACAGAGATAATAAATCGATTGCTATCGTTACAGAACTGGCGATGTCCGCAAGAAGCTCAGCTTGTGTCTCGAGACCTCGAGGGGAGAACTAAGGGAAAAACAAAGACGAGCCGAGGGTAAGTTTGCGTGTCATTTTGACTACAAGACGTTAGTATTGACATCTTCAAATTGAGTTCATAGCAAGGGCTGAATATCAGTTACACATTTCCGCTGCTTACTGTTAGCCGATGCATCATCTCGGGCGTAATCTACAGACTGGAAAGACATTACAGGAAACCACGGACAAACGTCAACGTCCTCGTTGGAGACTATTTTAGGGGCTTAAGAAGATGGATTATTTCTCCCCTCACTGCGTTTGGCCATTTTGAAAGTAATTCATGCGAGTTTCTGTTTGGATGTGTGTCATTTCAAGTGGGCCTTTCGAAAACCGCTGTCAAGAACCGGGGCTGCATTAAAGTTAATGTTTGATGATCATATTCGGCTTGAGAGAGTACGAAAAAAGGATGCGTGTTTTCCATCTGGTTTCGTATGCCTATTATGTGCAGTGTTGCAAGAACTTAATCTTGTTTCTCAAAGTCCACATGCATGAAATGCACGTTATCTAACGAAAAAATGGCCTGAAGCAAAATCAGTCTGGGCAGTTTGCAGCATACCATGTTTTGCAAACGTCTAATTTCATTTTCAAAGCCTTTGCATTTGATTGGAGGTAATTTTTTTTTTCTGTTGAGGATTTTTTTAAAGCACTTAGAAGATTGGCTTGTATGCTTTGCTGCAGTCATGAAGCTCTTTCGACTCCGAAACGCCGCTGCTTAAAATTTTGACTGGCGGTACAACATTTTGTACCACGTGATATTTGCAGACAATGGTTGTCGTTTGTCGACGGCGGGTAATTAAAATGAAAATACTCTGCCCTTCCTCAGAGCAATCCATATCTATGCCTATCTCAATAACTTCTCCCTCCATGCGGACATTACGTGAGCCAGTGGATCACGTTTCCAGTCTCCGACTGGTTTAATCCAAAATCAAAGAACGGAACATTAAAAAGTCGAATTGGTAACCGTCTACCGGACTCTGTATCTCTTCGAGGGGGGGGGGAGCGGAAAAACCAGCCGAGGCGGAAAAGGAAAACAATCAGTCGGAGAAATGGCGTTTAAAGACCGGCACGCACGGGTAAATCGAGCTCGCTCAAATGGGGAGTTGAAATCAATCCGCCACGGGTTTTTTAGCAAAGAAAAAACAGAGGACACGACAGAAGGATGACGTCAGGAGTCGTAAAAGACAGGCTTTAGTATGCGTCGGAGAAGCGCGATGTGCAGCAGGCGACGATTACGGTGGCACCGCGTGTCTGAGCAACTGGCCCGTCTATCGAAACAAGACGAGTGTCGGGGGTTACGTTACTTGGGCAATATTCCTTCCAAGTGATTGTTAAGGACCGAAAGAAAGACAGGAATCGCTGCAGAACAACAGGGCTTACGGGTTAAGCCGCGAGAGTAAGCCCGTATTAGACTGAGTCAAATCGGCCATCTGAAGTTCTCATGGAGGTCTGCCTGTCTCTTTACGAACACTGGAAGTGAACTCAGTCCATGGGTCATCTGAAGTCACGTCTCGTGCATTAAACAGAGGAGAGGGTCGATATGCATCCGTTGTGAGAAACAAGACGAATACGATTGAATAGGGAACTATATTGTAAACAAATTTACGCATCCAATTCAGTGGTAATAAACGACATGATAGTTATACATCCTGGTCCTCGACAAATGCAAAGTAGATGCGGTACAAGATTACGTTCATATAACGTTGCCATATGAAACAGTGAACAGTGTATCGGACATTTCTTAATTGAATATCGATAATTTCATATCGTCACCTTTTGCGGAAACGCTGATCCCATCGTTGAAGCATTCCAGGTTTAATAGCGCTCAATAGCAATTATTCTGGGAAATGAAGGATGCTGAAGTTGCCGCTGCAAAGTTCTCAACTCCGCAACGCGACCTGGGCAAAAGTGCGATCGTCGCTTCCGCCTGATGGGTCGTTCACCGAAACTGAAGCCGGACAGATGTGGACAAACTCCGCGTCGGGTCTTTACTAAAACGATCCTATCGAGCCGGCCCAGGTAACCTGTAACCGGACTTGACACGGAAGTGCACTTCCTACTATTTGTTCACAGACGTGTCCCCCTTCGTTACTTTTCAGCTAGAAAAATGTGGTGTTAAACGCTTAATCTGCGCATCGAAGAGCTTCCAAAATTATGGTGTATGGTCATTTCCATTACAGTTGTTTTCATTTCATAAACCGTATTTGACGCTGCGTTCAGCGAACAAGTTCTGTTTTCGCAGTGACAAATAAAAACGACTGGTTACGTATTTTCTACTTTAAAAAAAAATTTCAGAGACGTGAGATACAGTTTGAATACGACGTAACCAAGGCATGAAATGAAGAACACGTTCTTTCATTCTTCAAAAAAATCTAACGTAGCTCAAGAATTTCCAGCACTTAGGCCTTGTTTTCAAGTGGATTTTTTTCCAAGACAGGAATGACCACAACGGAGCGAGTTGTTCACGCCATCGAAACAAATACATAGCTGTATTTACCCCAGTTCGCCATACACTACGAGTGCTTGCAATTTGTACACTTTGTAACCCTATACATTTAAAATAATTGGATTGGCCGTTATCCGGCGCACGAGGAATGGGAAAAATCCCTAGAAATCGTGACCAACTTAATACTGTTCACTGCGTACCGAGATCAAACAAAATTAAGCCCGAGATTCGCACACGTAGCGTCTTCCACAAAGCATTGAAACACCGAGGATGATCATATTACTTTTCACATATCTTTTGATTGGTTGCCAGTGGCCCGGTTAAAGCACACAGCTCTGGGTTAGAGTTGAGGACACAGCTGCGTGCCTTCGAGATACAAAAGCCGTAAAAAAACCTGTGCTGTGTCTTTATTGCAACCTCTTTTCCATCTCCAGAACCTTCTTATTTCTCAAATGTGCGTTGTACACTGAAAATTACAGTAACTTTAAAAGTGCTGCAGGCTGCCAACAGGAAGACGGCTATCGGAATATGTTTGGCTATGAGGAATTTGATTAAATTGCGCGGCAACTTAGCGTTGTCAGAAGAATCTGAAGTGTCAACATGCACTTCCAGCGAGAGGCCCCTGCGTTCTCTTCGTGAGCCGGACGCCGATAAATAGTAAAGGCACCGCGTCGGCTGTACCTTCGAGCGCTTATACCACACGAAAATTGGATTGGAGTTTGGTTTGCGAATGTGACTCTTTGCAATCGTATGGCCCTTTTGATTACATAAATACATCGAGGCGGTCTCCAGACGAGTCCAGCGTTTGATGAAGTGGCCGCAAAAGGTGGTCATTTTTTATAGCCTTAATTCTCTAGTTTTCAATTTTCCAGTATTCTTGCCGATGCGTTTGAGACAACGAGTAGGCGGCGGATATCGTTTTCGAATCGTCGCCTCGGCTTCCGGAGCGCGTTCAGCGCGGCGTTAGGGACAGCGCTGGCTAATTGCAAGCGTCGGTTAAACTCCCCGTCCCCTACGCACTTCGTCTCTTTGGTAATTGATATCTATTGGAGACTGACCCTCAGCGCCAAGCCTGCGAGGGAAACTCGCCCCGGCTCGGCCAAAATTGACTTCACTGGATCACTTGAGTTCGGCATTGAAAATTACCAGTTCTCTGGAGTCAGTCTTGCGTGTGACGATATGACATACCGGCAGTGGGCTCGGGTTTTCGTCGTCCTCCGTAAGATCTGACTGAAGTTGTTTGAGTACGATGATAAACCCAAGTGGAATGGAGATCCAGAAGCCCATCAAAGGGTTATTTGTCTTGGATCAAGTCGCCCCTCCTCCACTTTTTGCCTGGACTTGCCGGTATCTCTGCTGTCTTGCCTGCTTTTTTTTTTCAAAGAAAATAATCCCTCTCACGAAAAGAATTTCCGAAAATAAGCACTCGTCGTGGACAAAAGCTTAATTTTTGGGGGGGGGCTGCGCGACAGGGGAACAATTTCCAGCCACCCTATTAAGCTGGAATACCGCCAGTCTTACGCTCGTTTGAATGGGTTGTCTGTATGCATACGGTGGTGCGCACCCAGAAACATTGATTTTGTGCCCCATCACTACCTTGTGCAGGATGCGGAACCTACAAATGCAGTTTATTGATTCCGACTGTTGTTACCTTCTTCCCAGCTTTTGGAAACTGATGCAGACTTTCACGCATTTCCTCGATGTTCGCGTTGAAAGTTCCCCCCTGTTGCGCTCGTTGCTATATCGATCTCAACGTTCCGGCACTCCAATAGCTTCGTATTGCGTGTCTGTTTTGTAACGTAAGTCAGTCTGGTTTCCAATTGACTATGTAAATGGTACTTTATCAATGCGAACCTAACCAGTGGTTTCGTAGGCCTTGATATCTTTTCCCTCCGTGAGGTTGGTATTGTATTTTGGCTGTAGGGGTAATACTTGTATTCTGTTCGGTCTTCCAAGTGAAATAAAAACTTTCCAATCCTCGTTTTCGCGCACTGTATGTCGTTAATAATTATCCATATTCAACAGTCTGTTTAAAGCAACAGAAGGAATGTGTGGAGACTAATGTCTACGTTAACTGAGTAATATCAGAACTTTGAATCAATCGATTTGAAGACAGTGCAAAGTAGAATTCCTTTTCTAGCAGTCTTCAGGCAGCAGTAACAAGACCATCTTGTCCGATGGGGGGGTTAGATTGGCTTAGTCTTTGTGCCAACAGCACTCTCCAGGCCGTCAAAACGTCATGGCCCGAAAGATAAATCTCACTCAAAGCTAGATTTTAATAAGGGCGAATCGAATTGGGCCTACAAGAGACCGGAATGACACCAGGGCAAGGTTTCGTCCTTCTTTTCATTCGCTCCCCTCTCTGTCATAGCATGGTGTTATCCGTCCCCAAATCCCAGCCTCAAAAACTGTCTCTTGAATTATTGATGGAAATACAGCTTTCCCTTATAATAAGGCAGGACCTCAATAGAGCGCGCAAAGTTGCATGCAACCGAATTTCCACTCGGCACTGTTCAAATCTACTGACGGTGTATTTCAGGTAGGACGGAGGTCGGGATGTGTACGGTAACAAATAAATTGAAAATATTGATTAAATACTGAGAGAGGTACGGTAGTACATGTTGTGTCCGCACTGTCGATGGCTTTGAAATCTGTTCACTGTAAAACAGGGTGGTGTTAATTTAACACCCTGGGCATTATAAGACTATACCAGACTGGGCGCAATCCTCTGATAACACTCAGAGGGATATATTAACACCAATTTAAAGCCACAGTTTTTGCAGTATTTGACTGCTATTTTTGGCTCATCTCAGCCTTGAAGCAAAAGGTTAAAACGGCAAGAACATCAGATTACAGGAAGCCTCACCATAAAGTCAGGTAAATCGCCCCCCGGCCAGTAAATCTTGTGCCCCGTAAATGGCCCTTAATGATTGCCTGGCGAACCCATGCCCAAACTACTGCACAAGCCTCAGGCGAAGAAAACCCTTTTTTTTGTAAGAGAAAGATTTTTCGCGATTTTGAGGTTGCGGTTCATTATCACCAATTACCAAGATCTTTGTGCTCCACAGAGGCGAAGATGGGGCTGATACTGCCCGTTAGCCATGGCTCCCTGGCTGTCCGGCGCGTTTTTACCGCGGCCTCTCGACGACAGTGGTCTTTGATTCAGTGGCGGAACGGCACTTTACGTCAAGGAGCAAATCTACAGCGCCATTAATAATCGTGTATGACGGCCCGTATGCGCCATGTCCCGATAGTGCCGTCTGGTGTGATTGTCGACGGGAGACGAGTGGACACCAAAATGGTGAAACGTTGCACCCGCTCATCTTGGGCTGACATAATCACAATTTACAGCCAGAGATGGAAAATTTATTGAATTTTAAGCAGAAGAGACCGCGCGGGCTTTATCTGGCGTTTAAAATTAAAATTCCTCAGAAATAAATACACGCAGAACAACCCTTATCTTAATTATCATAACTGATAGTGGTGCCTTTTTTTTAGGTATGATTATTGCAGAGCTAGCAGGCATAATGCGCTTGAAGTACGAATCTGAACGTGTATGAGTAGACTTACATTTAGCACTGATTAAACTATGAACGATCATTAGCTGAGCTCTATTCCCAAAGTGTTTCAATTTGACTATACGCAAGACTGCCATACTTTGATATGCCAGTGCTGGTTTGAGCAGTTTACACAGGGAGATGGGTAGTCTGCAAAGCACCAAAACCAAGATGGAGTTCATGATGTGGACTAAACCTTAGTCTTGATTCGTCCTGTTATTGCGGCAGGGGCTTCTTGCTTTTGTCATAAAAAGGAAAGGAAATCGTTCCAAATCATGGAGGAAGGTATACAGAGTATGTTTGTCGGGGGACGTCGGGGATTACGGTTGCCCAGAAACCGCGAGCGACCGTGGCATTCGGAGATCAGCGGGAAGAATCCCCCGTCGTATCGGCTCTACACGGTCGTTGATCCTCCCAGAAAGACGGTAATCATCCGCAAACTTCGTTCAAGCCCGCCTTCCCTTTACACTCACGTGGAAGCAATTCCACCTGCAAGCCCGGCGTCACGAATGGAATAGAGATTTCTAACACGTGAGGTCTTTCTTATAGTTTTCATCTTCATTGCTGTATGAAGGAAGCGCTAAAGTGTTATGGCCGGTAGAGGGGGTCTTTAACAGAGTATGACTTTCATAAATTGCCATGGTTACGCCGTTGGCCATGCGGTGACAGTCTGTACTCTGTATTAAAAGCTTCAAGATTAATTTGTCCAATTTCGATAGGGGAACTTGTTACCGAGACATTGGGTAGTATGAATAAAAACTAGCAAATGCTATGAAGTTCAAGCAAACAGCAAAAGCATTTACTGAGAAGTAAAAGCATTAAGAATAAGCAGTTGCTTGAATTTGTATGAATAAAATGTTTCTTTTACTGTTCAGCATCTGCTTGTACAAATAGTAGCAAATGCTTTATGCTTGTGGCTGACTTCACAGCCGCGCGGTTCTGCACAATGGGGCTTCCATTGTTTGACACGCAGAGTGCAGCACGGTGCTGTATCTTGAGACCTCCGCATGGCAGATAAGCACGCAGCCAGTAATTTTGATCGCAAAAACCTTGATGAAGAAAATTGCTCTGCCACTCTCAAATGCCTGCATCTGGTTTCTTGAGATTCCCTCCCGAAGGCATACAGCTTTTCCTTTCGAATGACATTTATGAACGCTGCCATTTTGAACACCAGTAAATGCTCCTCGTTTTGAAGCTTGTCCTGACCCAGTCTTGAAAAATGTCAAGAAAATACTCCAATTCTGTAGAACTTTCTCATTTTTATTCATACAAAATGAAGCAACTGCTTATTGTCAAGCACAAGCTTAAAGAGTAAAAAGTAAACACTTTTACTTTTTAGCAATTGCACTAAAGAAAAAGCGTTTGCCTACAAACACTAGTAAATGCTTCAAATGTGGTATTAAAAACAAATGCTACTTTTCATTCATACCACCCATTGTAGTAGTGCAGCTTCTTTTAAGAGCTATACCAAAATATTACGTCTCTGGCTTAGGCTTCACCCTAATATAATTGTGTTTTCACGCAGGCAATATGAAATGTCACCTCAGTAAACAAATTCGTCACAAATATTTGACTGTGGGCTCAAGGAAATTGGGTCTAGGGACACTCGTAGAGTTAAGAGGGGGGTGAGTCAGATTCCACATACGCCTTACCTTTATCTCTCATGTCCGACTGTGCGCGCACCAAACAACAGAGTCCAACTAGCAGGAATAATTTCAAATCCATCTTTAATGATCTGTTGGAAAGAGCAAACAAAGCCCCAATGATTGTCAATTTTGCTGACTGGAGGGAACGGAGATTACCCTTCATGCGGCTTGGGTTATGGCCACTATCAACCGAAACCGTTCCGGAAGGACTTTTCTTCTCTCCTCGCTAATGTCGGCAGGAAATTGTCTGTTTACCATCCAAAATGGGAGGATGTCTTCAAGACAACCCGAGGTTTGACTTGCACAAACTTCATTGTGAACACAGGATTCTAAACAAGATGATTTGAGAGACGAAATTGTCTTCAGTAAATACGTCACAAATTTACAAAGGAGGTTTGGTGACTAAGCGGTAAAATATGATTTTGAGCATTTAATGACGTTTAGAAATGAAACCATGAGATGTTACTTTGAAGGTTCTTACTAATCCTTTGAAAATAGTAGCCTGAAGCTCTTAAATGTAAAAAAAAATCAACTTATTGGAAATGTTTTTATTGTGATGCTGTTTAAAAGAGCTTGTAAGAAAACCCTTATCGAATGTTTTGCAGACATAGTGAGAGACATATTGAAACTAAAACGGACTCGTGTGACTTCCTGATCAGTATGGTGTCAAATCTGAGAAAAAACCGCAGCTGCGTCGGTGAAGCAGGGAAAATAATTGATGTTGTGCGCCACACCAGAACGTCGGGGGTGTTCCGATCAGATCACGTGTGAAGTTGCAAAAACAAACAAACAAACAAACACCAAAAACACCCGACGTCCGTTCCGATGGTGCGTGGGCCACATTTTGTGTAAATTTCGCTTCCCCTTTGTTGACCACAGAGCCCTGTTACTCGAGGTGGGGTGTTTATGAACCGGAGACAGGGCCGATTGCAGGGACAATGTTGTTTGCAGCTTGCTTGCAACTATTGTGACAACTTCACTTTCCTGTTTGAACACTTATTTTAGGACTTAAATCCTGAAATCTTCCCTCAAGAAGAGATCTCTATTATAGATCTTTGCTTTCACCCTTGGATCTTCACTTGCGATTGCTTTTGGGGGGGGTCAAGCTATACCCATCAACACAACACAGGCGTCATCGTATCGGATTTCTTCATCTCTATACTTACTCAAAAAAGGGGATTAATATTTTTCTTTCCCGTCTGCTGAACTCATCACATCGGACATTGCGAAGGTCTGGTTGTAAAAAAAGAAGTCGGTTTTCATTTCCACTCCATGTGATTTATATGAAACATTTGTCGCAATGAAAAAATACCCCACATAAAACAAAATGAGAGTCCTAGTCCCTGTTCTGGAGTTGTACGCTAATTGAGAGCGTATACGCTAATATTGCCCTCGCCTGGCTTTCAAAAGACAAGGAGCAAAAAAAAAAAAAGCAACCAAAAAAAAAACCACTTTTCCAAGTTGGTTAGTGTCTAGAGTCGACTCGTAAAACTTAGCAGGCCTGCGGTTCCATGAATTTTCCTCAAAGTCTAAAGGAAAGACTTCAAATGAATTCTTATTCTAACCCTAACCGAACATGTCTGCCAAATGTGTTATCTTTGTGAGTCCATACTCCCCCAGTGTGTTAGTTCCGGACAGAAAATTGTCGGCTCAAATTTCCACAAATTCGTAATTGCAGCAAGCATACCTGCTTTCAGTAAAAACAAGCGAGGCTTTTTAATAACGAGTTTGCCGCCGCTGGCGTCGATAACTAAACAGCCCTCACCACAAGGTCAAAAACTTAATCAGAAAAACAATGACATGACCAGCAGCGCGGTTTGAAGTGCTTGTAGAATCAAACGGTAATGAATTGTTCGATGAAGTTGGACGAGCCCACTCAACGGGGATGAGAATCCTGCGATGACATTCGCTGCTATATCTCATTTTACGGTGTAGCGCTACCGTCGGTTCAATATTGTGATCATCGCTGCCAGCCTTGGTGGGTTCGAGTGGCGGTCTGGGAGGGCGAAAAGTCGCAACCGTAGTGCAAAACTGACGCTTTCGGTCTGAGCTTAGACGAGAAATCAGAAATGGTCGAAGTACCAAACACGGCTTTATACATGTAGAGATGCACGGGATGGACGGAAACTATTGGTTTCGAGCCAATACCTTCCGAGGTAAAACTTAAGTTGTTCCCTTTTCTTGCGACTGTGTCTATAATTTTTACACTAATAATTTTTGTCTGGCATGGTGGCGATCGTGTCCAACCCCTCAAGCCCCAATCTACCCGACCCTATAATTATATAATGTTGCTCACTATCTGCCATAGTCACCATTCTATAATTTGATTGTGTCCTGCTAGATCGGCATGTTGCGATTCGATCGCAATTGAGATCACGTATGGCCCCACTCATGACGGCAAACAGTGCAAAATTGTCCTTAACGCCGCCTTTCAAATTAATTCACATAATTGGAACGGAGGATATTCCCGAGAAAAGTGAAATTCCGTCGGTATCACGTCTCTCAAACCGCCTCGTCCGTCTGAGCACGTCGGATAATTTTTACTCCCCCCACGTGCCAAAAGGGGAACTCGAACAAAGCGCGGAGGCGTACATTATATAAATTGCAATCAACAGCATCAGCGGCTTATTCAATTTGCCTCCTCTCTCCACATGCCCATCGTTATTTACTTTTGATATGGCCATTTTCTTCTATGCCTCGAAATTTATTTGAATGTCAAATATACGCAGCGGTCTGGACACCCGAAATTGTCGCAATAGCAATAAAGGAGTGCTATAAGGCAGCTCGGGTGTGCATAATGACTTCAGATATTGGAGATTGTTTTACAATTACTGTTGGGGGGGGGTTCCTGTGATCATTTTTAGAATTTGAGTCAGGTCATTAGTGCTTCCGTATATAGTCTGGTGATAGACTTTCTAATTCGCAAAAAGCCGTTTTCGCAAAAATTGGTCGCCATTAAAGCTATAAGGACTTGTGTTGTCGGTGCGTGATATTTGTGCTGTGAAATCCGCACTCACAATTGGTATAATCGAATAGTGGTATAATCGAATAGTTGTATAATCGAATAGTGGTGTAATCGAATAGAAGCTTTTACCTTTATAAAGATTTAAACACAGTATTAAAAACATGATATTAGAAATAAACGTTATCATTGGGAATGAGAGACATTTTCTTATGTTTAATAATGTACTACGGGATAAAGCAATGCCGTTTTCAAAATTGATATTACGATCATGTTGCCTTTACACTGTAATCGGTATGCGATGTGATGCACACTCTTCGACGGTTCTGTCAGACCCGTGTCTCATCTGTTTCTAAGAGTCAGGGATGAACATCCAGTAAAAACCTGAAGAGGACTTTAAACCACGTGTGGTCGGATTTACAATCTAACTAAAAGATCTCATTTCTCCGGGACTCGTCGGCTATAAACATGGAGGCAGCGACCAGCCCTGAAAACGGACGACCGACACCACTCCTCAGTAAATTGGCAGCGAAACCTATAATATTTCGAAACGCGAATCAATATCAGTAAAGGACACTGTATTACCGTCTATCTTACATCTTCAGCGAGATCCACCTGCTCATAAGGACAATTAAGTCTTGTTTATGACAACCCAAGTTCCCCGTACGCACCTCAGTATAGTGCCGCTTTATGGGTACACGGCACGTCCGCACGCCTCGCCAATTGTGTGCAGAGAAGGGCTTAAAACCGGCCGGGAAAATGTCACGCGTATGGAGTGGGCCCGATCCTATGTCTCCCGGCGTGCTTAATGCTTCGGTAGGAGGGATTTGATGGCGGCATTCGGGGCGGCGGTCTTCCCCTCGGCTCGGTCGTGCCCGCGCCATCCGCCGACTGTATTACGCCGAGGAAAAACACTGCTAAAATAATTTGAACAAGTCGCTGATGTGCGGGGTGATTGCGCGCAGAGCAAATTGACTCAGAGTCTTGACTCAACACAGACGGGTGCGTTCCCAGAGCCGATACAGTGGACACCTTTCAAGAAAATCGTTTTCATCCACATGTGCATAGATGCAATGGTATAGCTGTGGATTGTGGGAGCGACTCCCACGAGTTGAATAAACAGCGTCGGCACGCTGATTTTGTTTGAAAGTTATTACATTGCCTTTTTTTCACAATTTGCATGAAAAGATTCACAGACATTGGGTGTTGTCCCTATCAATGTCGATATCTACAACTAGAAATGACAATACCTTGACTCTGATTTTTTGTTTTTCTTATTCCCTCTGTAAAGTTGTTGAATTCATTCACTTTGGAGAAAATTGTGACAGACTGTAATGAAACTGCTTTCTAAACATGTCTAGGTAATGGAGAAATGATAACATAAAGTAATCGATCTGATTTTGATTTGCCAAATATTAATTGGGGTACAATGTAATGAATACTCAGCACTGAAGCCAAAATGGTCGACTGTAAGAAAACAGCAGTGTGTAAGAACGATCTAAGAAATGATGTTCTTACCTTTTGGAACTCGGTGTAAATCTAGGCCCAGAATAAAATCTACCTCAGCTTCTCCAGACGCGACGTCTTTCCTTGTCGTCGCTGTTGTCCGCCTGTCTCGCTGTTTTTTCTCTGTCTGTTCACCGATCACCAAGATATTCGCTCGGTCCCGACAGCCTTGTTGTACCGCTCCGCTGAGATGCAGTTTCCTTGCTTGCAAAGCTACCGGCAAATTATTTAAGGACTCGCTGCGAAGCTTCACCAGCACTGCGCTGACGTCACGGCTGCGTCACGTGTCATCCAGCTTGTCTTCCGACCAATGGGGTGTCGCTGTAGAACGAAATGCCACTACAACGTATACCTATAGACACTCACACACGCTGTCAACGCCGCTCTTTACTGTTTATGTTTCATCTCTAAGGCATTTTTCATGTATAGATTGTTCTGCTCTGTTGTATAACTATGAGTCTTGAAATGTTTACTGTAGGTGATGTTAACTGTTTCCTTTATAATATACGCAACTTAATTAAGGCCGGAATTCCCAATTTGTTTGGTGTTTCGCTGGAGTTTTGGGATGACCTTTTGGCTTTTGAGCTGTTGCAGATTTCTGAACTTCGGTGTTTGTCAATAGTGCGAGTTACGTAGAATGAAATTAAAATGCAAAAGCCAGAACACCCGCTTTAGATAGCGATACAGGGACTTGCTCTTGGGTGCTATGGCATACCTTAGAGATAAGGGTATATACAAACGTCCTATGCAGGTGTGGGGGTTGTCAGCCATTTAGTTTACCATACCGTGAATGGTACCAGTGTTTATGGATACGTCAATCCTGACGTCATTTAAGACGTAGGAGAGCCTAGAGTCAAGGAGGGTTCACTCGCTTGCTCAGCGTTGGGTTCTACCAGCCTACCCGTAATGGGAAGGATGATACGGCCCAATAAATTGCCTTCAATCTTCCAATATTGGTCATAAATTTTAGTGTTAGTCCAATTTGCCGGCGAGAGGAACAGAAGTTGCTTGAATGTTGAATTCCACATAATTGCACATTTGACCGAATTGCAGCGAATGTAACCGATAATGGACGATCGCTCCATCTGAGTCCCTTGTTGACCAAAAATTCGTCCTGGACGGGAGTTTGAAAAAAAACATGAAGACGCGGGCTCGTTATTGATTTGGTAGATATAGCCGTCTCGCTCGCGCGATCGTGTTCCATGTTGCGAATTGCCCCACCCGGGATTTGCCATTTTAATTGAAACTTCAATTTGCCGGCGTGTTCTGCTCAAAAAAGGTGCACTTCAGCACCGGTCTAATCTGTTTACTTTCCGTAAATGATCTTGCCAAACGCGCCGTTCTGATACCCACAAAAAAAAACCGAGCCTATTTAGCGAGCATCTCGCGTGGCACGTGGCGCCAGGTATTGCAATTGGGGAAAGTTATCAAGTATTTTAAGTTTCACATAAAATCACTGTACAAAGTATTCAGGGTTTGCTTTTGCTAGGCAGGGACATCAACTTCTCAGCTATCAACTTGACCATCTCATTTGAAATATTGAACTCCATGTGGACATTAATACCTTTACTAATTTCGGCCAAAGTATCGACTCATTGAAAATCGATTTCCATTAGCATTATCGAAGCATCTGTGAGCATTCAGTCCCGTAGGGTGCATAAGTATTCTCAAAATGCACATTCGTAACGTTCTTTACAAGAATACCGAAAGTTTAATCGTGATTAAAACCCATTCAGAATAGCAGTTATCGGAAGACTCGATGTTATTTCCATTTTTTCGGAGTATTTAGTGCAAAACAGCCCAGAAAGTCGATTCTGAGAAACTCAAGCAAGTGAAGCCAGAATTTGAAGCTTTGGCCAGTGAAGATGAAAATTATCAAATTAGGCTAAAACAGCTTGCAGGAATCACTACATTTACATCTTGTGAATTTACGCCTCTTATCTGAAGTGTTACTCCTTAATTTATTGTCTTTTTTTCAGATATCTCCTGGACATGTTAATTTTTTTTTCTCTTTTCAAGTTTTACATTTGTCACAATGCGATCGATTTTCCCCATGTTTTGTTTAAATGAAAAAAGTCAAGTAACATTAAAGCCAAACTTGGAAGACGGCAATTGCGTTCGGGCCGTGAAACTCAGAAAACTAAAAGTTACCTGTAATAATGTACGAAGAAGTGAACTAATCTGAAAAACTGTTGTTGCTTCTAAAAAAATACATTTTGACTGGAAAAGAATGGAATATGAAGATACTTCGGCAAAGGACTGCCCTCAAGAGTAACCTATAAACACTTATTTCATCTTTAGTTCATTGGCTTTCTGTCATGCATGTCCTGATATGATAAATTCTCGATTTTAGTTGGAGAGAGTTTTGCTTCACCATCCTTCCATTTCAATGATACACCGATCGCACCGGTAGCAGTAGACGATAACAGACCAAAGGAGACTCAAAGATATTTTGCTCATTAGCCCCGAAGCCGTAGAATCAAGTTCCCAGGGAGCGCAAGACCAGAATCAATTCCGAAGCCATGATGTCGACGGAAATCGTTTGTCTTTTCTTCCAGCTCCTTCTCCTCTCTCCCCAATCCGAAAAAAGCCAGCATCATTACCGGGTCTTCGCAATGGTTTCCCCCCGTTTTGATAAATGACTCCAACAGTCACCCTTTAGTCTACTCATTTGCACGGGTTTAATTTCCACCAACGTGACTCAGAGAGGACAGACTAGCGTGATTATACTTGAACTCGCGCGTGACGTGGGCAACTGCTTGCGTCTTTTGAAGGCAGAAAAGGGACTCCAAGAAATAATATTTCTTTCACAAATCTGCATTTTCTTGAAAGAAATATGGTTTTGGTTGGGCCAAATACTCGCCAGGGAAATGAATTGAACGGGTAATGGTCTGACGAATGACAAATTAATGACAAATCTTCAAGTGATTATTATAGATCACATCGCAGAAGTAAGAAAAGAGCCTGCGCTATGAAAGTAAATATGATTTTTGTCAAAACATATCTTTCCTGTGAAACAAATTCATACCTCTTGGCTGTTTCATTCATTGTTTAGTATTAAATACTGAATGGGAGACTTTTTAGACGCTTGGTGGCAGCAGACACCCACGTGACGACGTGACCGATCGGAATTTTCAGCATGCGCACTTCAGCTCCACCGTGAGGCAAACAATAGCAAGCCAGTAAACTTTTATCGTCGAAGTGGTGACAAAGTGGCAACGAAATGGTAGGAGTTTGACCAGAACTCCTTACTACTTCTTTGTATCAGTTATGTATTACATTTCAATTAAGCATCTGCATTAATTACGTGTTCTCTGTATTTATGTTGAAATTAGCAATTTTGTGCGCGTAAGGCCTTTGTCTGAGCCTGTGGCTCGCACTTGCGCACGTACGAGTGACCCAGCTCAAAATTTCAAGGCGTTGGGAATGTATCAAGAGCCGGAGAATATAAATGACCCTCGTTTAATTAAAAACTCTTAATGGTTTAACCCTGTCATATCACCTGCACATGTTGCCACGATTACAGCTGAACTGTCCTAATGGCCGGTACATGATATTTAAATCGATTCGCTTTCAATGATTAATTGGCCTCGATGGCTACGCAGAATACGATTTGTCTTTTCCAGTAACATTAGTTGAATTCGGGGCACGCTATATTGTCGGAAGTGTAAATTGGAACTTGAAATTGAGGACAGAAAAGTGACTTTGGGGGAAAATACTGGCGATGTTTAAGAGCACTAAAGGATGTTTTACACCTTTTCAAATTTTGACATTTTGTACTTTGTACAGCTAAACAAGGAATTTAGTCTTGGGATAGGTTTACCCACGTCATTCCATGAACTGATATTTTGGGCAACCTAAATTGCACATTCAGAGACAGAGTTACCTTTTCGGTTTTGGTTTCAATACCACCTCCCTTATTAAATAACCACGGATATAGTTAAATTTGGAACATTGTTGCTATTTTTAAGTGTCTTTAATTAATATGGAAACGTTTTAAACCACAATCCTCATGAATTAAAGAAATAAAAGTATTCTCTGTCCAAACATTCTTCTCAGTATATTTTAGGTTTGCATCTAAAATTAATCTCATGGCTAAACGCAATGAAACGATTCTCACGTGCTTTTCTGTAAAAAACATCTTCAGAGTGTAAATCAGATAAACAAGTTACGCAATGCATGGAGACTACACTCAGAACAAAAGTGAACCGAAGTTTCGGACCAGAGAACAGTTATTTCGACAGAAGGAACCTTCACGCAACCAGCCGGTTCTGTCGACTCTGCCTTATTTAATATAATCCCCATAAATGTCTTTTCAAGAGGGTACTACGAGGAAATAAGTCGTTGCAAATAGTTGTTACGGTGCTTCGAGTTCTTAAGAATTGTTTATCTTCAACCTAGACTCGTAGACGTCATATACACTTGTGTTGTCTTAAAGATAGGCATTTGGATACGTGGCCCTTCCCTTTAGTATAAACCATTGCGTTAAAAAAAGTAAGGCTTCTTTATTCTGAAAGTTGAATTGCAAGCGATTTTCTGAGAGAGAGGCCTACTTATTTGATATTTAATACATTTACAGCCGTGTAATTGTGACACTTGATACAGAGTGATACGATTATATGAATACGCTACGTAGTTTATTACTTTATTATTTTTGGAAGTTTATTTTTGGAAATTGTATTTTCTGCGCCCGCTCATAGATTTAATCTTAACACCAGTAAATGGTGCATGAGCCACAGCGCTTCGGGTGATTGCGGCGGCGTTCTTGTCTTTTCGACCTGAGGTTGGTAGTGCCTTTGCGTGCGTGACCCACTTACAGTGGTTTAATTACAATCTAATGACTCTGATGAATTAGCTGTGAAAGGAATTTAATTAGACCAGCATCGCTTGCTTTTAGTCTTGAGCGTCTTTGTTGCAATCGGATTTCTCCTGCTCCCTTCGACCAGTAACTACAGCGGCCTCGTCCCTTATTTTTCACAAACCAGAATTTTACCAGACCTTATATACACTGCATTCCTCCGTTCCGTTTGTCCGTCCGGGTGTTCGTTGACAGAGTCTTCGCCATGTCGCATCAACTGCCTGTCAGTCCGATTGATTTTACTTGGCCTGGGAACTTTAAGCAGCGGCTGAAGGCAGACTTCTAGTGACGTTCTACATTTGACATACGATCTCTCCTGTTATGAAGAAAATACTCTAGTAGATTGGAAATGGTTACTATTATGTGACCTTGTCT